TCCCACCCAGAATGGCTAACACAAGGCAGGATAATAATGTATGCCAAGAATTAGTGGGACATTGACTCACTAATTCACCTAACTAGGATATACATCAAGGAAATCGGAATGTTGCTCGGATTAGATAAGTGTGGGAGAATTATAGCAAAAAAAGGGAAGATGATCAGGGCAGATGGAGTTCAAGTACCAGAAGGCCAAATAGGAGATGTAGAGAACAGCTTCAAGTACCAGGGGGTATTACAAATACATGGAAACCATGAGGAAGAGACAAGTAGGTACATCCAAGTACCTCCAGAGAGTCAGACAGGTCCTAAAGTCCCAGCTCAATGTCAAGAACCATATCCAAGCCATCAACACATATGCCCTACCAGTTATCAGGTTCCCAGCTGGAATAATAACCTGTCTAAGAGAAGAACTTTTCACCATGTTAGATGTCAAGACTTAGAAACAATGGAGACTTTAATTTCACCCACTAAACTGTAGGGTTTTTTTTTTTTTTCTGATGCTCATATCTTTTGTTGTACAGTACTTTCAAAGGAGAAAAGTGTCTTAAACCAAAGGTTTAAGCTGAGAAAGTGGCTTACACCTTTCCTTTTACAATCAAATGTATTAAAACGTAACTGTGACCATGTGGACACGCTTAATTTACTCCAAATAGTGACATTGCCAATGGGGGTCCGGTTGCTAGAGGTGCAGGCACATTTGAGATTTACTTACCTAAACCTGTCTCTCAAAGGCACCACCATTGACTTGGCAGTCCTCTTCTGCTCCTGGTGCTTCAGTGCAAGGAACCATTTTCACTGCTGTAATCTTATGCATGCACAATAGTACAGAAATAGGGTCCGTAGTATATCCTGTGAGATTGAGGGATCCTTGATAGATAGAGCCAATTGTCGGTGACTGTTGAGGGATTGAAACTTATTGACAGCTGTAACTCTGCCCAATGGCAAGAAGTGCAAGTGGAGTAAAAATACGGAGACAAAGTACTCTCAGTATGTCATATCATTGGGTTGTAATTATAGTGAAATTACAACACAGCCAATATGAGTATTTCATAACGATTTTGATATGAAATACTCATTTTAGAGGGGAGAGGTGACAGCACTGATTTTAACACATTCGGTCCTCTCATAAACAAAAATAGCCTAACAACATAATCTATGAAAGAAGTAAATACAGATATTATTTGTGATGCATTGAAATTGGTTCACAATAAAAAACACTGTTGCAAATGCCCATCTGGTTGTAGAGTCTAGAAGTGTTTTAAAGGTATTTGGTTTAAATCTGTATGTTTGTTTCAGTGATTTGCTGACAATCTCTCTAAAACAAAGGTTTTTAGTCATCTTGGGTTTTCAGAGAGGCAGCATCATGGACTGGACATATTGATTACAGAATATGGCAAGTTTTTTAATGTTTCCCTTACCCTGTGCGATGCTCATGCAAGAATTGAACTCTACAGCTACATCTGCAACCAGTGGTAAAGGTACTGTAGATTTGTAAATATTTTACTTTAAAATACTTGACTACGTATTTTTAGGTTATTCAGCATTGGCAAATAGTATCGATTAATTTAAATTTGTTATGATTGATATGAAAGAATAAATATAATTGCTTTACATAAATTCAGGAAAAAATACTTTCTTCAACTTTAACATAACACAAGGTCTTGATTGTATTTCCTCTGATAACAGTTATCTGCAGTCTATCAACGTCCAACAAGCCTTTTATTAGTTCAAATCGATTTTAGCCATTAAAGGCTTATCAGGAACCAATAAATAATGTTTTGAATAATATCGATTTTTAAAAAATATAAACTTTCAATAATAAACTTAGGGAGGAAAATATCAAATTCAGCAATTCAATGCTATTTTTGGAAATAATCATTGTTAATGGTTTTGAAAATACGACAGCAAAAAGATGTTGATAAGTGCAAATGGTTAAAAATAGTTTAAGTTAAGTTTCAACACATCCCCACTTGCCATGATACAAGTGGGGGCATGTCACCTAAACACCAAGTAGCCAATTGCTAGTAACATACAGACAGGAGTTATTAGGGTGGTAGGTTGACAAAATTTGTGGGGGACGTGGACAATAGCATGTCTATCATCCCTTCTATATTTCATTGAAGCCTCAACCACTGCCACTTGGTGGAGGTCTCAGGAGAAACATTAGGTATCCATTAGGTATGGGGTCTCCTTTTTATTATTTTAATACCCCCCACCTGCTGATCTCAGTTGTGGGCTGATGGACACTATACCACCCCACATTATTATTGTAGCCTCACACATGGTTGCATGTTCGGATACTATGATTCCCCACATTACTATTTAAATTAGAGCTCCACACACAGGGGTAAACAGTGATATGTCCACCCTCCATTCTTTAATTTGCAATTGTGACCCCCCCTTATGCCCATAGCCTTTTATTCAATTTATTTTTTTAATGATAGATGTGCTTCCAAAGCACATTTATTGGATGATATCGTTCAAGCATTGTTTATCGGTTTGGCTTCTAGAATCGTGGCTGCCATTAAAACCAGTCAAAATTAGAGGTAAATATTGGCCAAAGCCAGTTGATATTTATCTATGTTTCCTGGCCAATAGGATGGAATTGAAAACAAAATGTAGTGTACTGAAACCAAATTGTTAAATTTGCTGTATAATAGCTTAATTTTTTATAACCGATACTGAAACAAAAAATTCCATATAAAAAAATTTTTGACTAAATTTGGCAATTTCATTTTCAATTCACTACAATCCAAATTTACTGAATAAAATCCAGTGTACAATTATTTTGCATTAATTTTCATGTGAATCAGTTGATTAGATATATTAAACTACAGAACCACATAATCATAAGTGCAACTAAAAATGGCTACTTGTAGAGTTTAGTGTACATGGCACAATTACATTTGATACTTATATTAAATATATAAGTATTTATATTAGGATATTTATCAAGGCAAAATAGGTGCTATTCTGGGGCAAAGTAAATAAGAAGCGACATCCATGGAAACCATCAGAATATTTCTCAACATTTAGCACCTTGAAACTCAACATCATCTACTTTGGCTTGTCAAATATCACTCTCTACAATTACATGGTAACAATGCCCAACCCTATAAATTGCGTACATCATTCTACAAACATTAGCATTCTTTTTTTCCTTTTCTTATCTCATTAATATATAATTAAATCTCAGTTTTATATGGCCATTTTCTATTCTCTTTCGTTCTTCGACTATATATCATTCTAAATAGAATTTCAATATATCTTAAATTCTCTAGGTCCCCAAGTGCCCCTGTGCTCCTGTTGTGCTCCTGTTATTAGTTAGGCCACTAATTTCTTTGTTTATTTATCGCTTCTGCTTATGGGTTAACCCCTTCACGAGTGTTCCTAAAGCTTCCTTTCGTTCAGTGTTGTTCTTTTCAATGTAGCTTAGTGGTAAAGTAAACCAAGAAATTAAAAATAAGAAAAGGACATTTAAAGCATTTAAATCATATAACCAGAGAAGTCCTATATGAGATATAAGGAAGCCAATAATGCAGGCAAAAAAGCTGTTAGATGGGCTTAACTAGAAAATGAGAGGTGATAAACAAAGAAAAGAAAACCAAAAGCATTCGACAGAGTCAACTGGAGTTACCTAGAAGCTGCACTGTCGCATTATGGCCTTGATGGCTGGATTAAGAAAGCCATTATGGCCCTTTATGTAAATCCATTGGCGTGCACTAAAGTACCGAACATTACTACCACATGGTTCCAACTGAAAAATGGGACACGCCAGGGGTGTCCGCTTCCACCCTTATTGTATCTGCTCTCTATTGAACCATTAGCTGAAAGCATTAGAAACAATAAAAAGATCAATGGCTACAAAACATTGGACATAGATCAGAAAATAAGCTTATATGCCGATGACATCTTAATCACAATAACCAATCCTAGTACTTCATTGGACTCTCTAATGTTAGAAATTGACAGTTATAGTCAAATATCTAATTATAAATTAAATACAAATAAATCCATGATTTTGGATATCAATCTGGATAAGAAAACTCAAAATGAGATTAAAGATAGATATAATTTTCTATGGGTTGAAAATAGTATGGATTATTTGGGGGTTAAATTGACCAGAGATGTAAATAACATTATGGAGATAAATTTCTTAGATTTATTACAAAATCTTAATAAATGGCTAAAAGATCGTAGAAACTTAGAAATAACTTTTTGGGGAAGAATAAATGTGATTAATTCATATAGTATCCCAAAATGGAACCATATGTTCCAGATGTTGCCATTATATATTTCTAATTATTGTTTGGAGCTGATATAGAAAGGTTTCACCCAATACATTTGGAAAGGTAAGAAACCAAGACTGAGTCAGTCAACGCTAATTCAAAAATTAAGTAGAGGAGGATTAGCTTATCCTTTAATATTAAATAATTACAGAGTAGCTACAATTTTACACATTTATAGGATGCAAATAGAAGATAATAAAAATGAAGGATGGTATAAGATGAAACTTACTGCAGGGGGAGTCCCCAGTTTGGACTGTTTAATCTGGAACACTATTAAATCTCACAAAAAAGAATACTCTAAAACAATGTTAACACATTTATTAAATAATTGGTTTAAAATAAAAAAAATATTAAAAACTGAAAATATAGTTCCAAGCTATTTAGAGCTGAATTTTATTGAACAACAGGTTGAAGATATAAATCTTAATAATTGGAAACAGGCAGGAATTGTACAGCTGGCTCAGCTATTGGCAGAGGGAACAATTAAAACCTTTGTTCAATTAATACAAGAGTATAGCCTACCATCAAAGGAGCTGTTTAATGTTTTGAGACTTAAAAGCTTTTTGACAACTCATTTAATTGTATTAAAATCCAGTTTAAACAACATGATCAACATATTATTTAATTCATATAGAATAAATAAACCATTTTCTAAAGCTTTGCTATTAAGCAAAATGTGCAATAAAGAAAAAATACTAATAGCTATAGCTGCCTGGAAGGTAGAACTAAACACAGACATAGATATCAAGCATTGGGGTTCTTCACTGGAAGTTTCGAAGACTATACATTCGCTAAATTTACTAGAAACCCACTTTAAGGTTTTAAATAGATGGTACTTAGTACCAGATAAATTGAACAAAATGTACCCCACAATAAATCACTTGTGTTGGAGATGCGGCTTAACTACAGGTACTTTTAAGCATATATGGTGGGAGTGCCACAGATTGAACAACTTGTGGTCTAAAATCCAAAGGTTTATATCTGCAGATCTGAACCTTGGGTTGAGGCTCTGCCCAGAGGTCGTCCTGCTTCATTTAAACTGGCCGGCAATGGCGTATGAGTTGAAAATTATTCTTACTCATCTCTTCTTAGCTGCCAAAATTGTGATTCCGAGAAGTTGGAAAAATGATATGGACGTCCCTTGGGATCAAGTTAGAGCCCAGCTTAAGTTCCAGATCAAAATGGAATTAATGTTGAATAAACAAAAATTAAGTTAAAAAGTAAGTGTTTGGATGAAGTGTTGAGAGTGGATAAATAAATAGAGCTTCCAGTAAATAAAGTGTCTGTCAAAACTAATTTCTTTATAAATTTAAAGTGAAACATTGCTAGAACGTTTATACTTTGGATAATATAAGATTCATAGTCTTGCTCGACCTGCATCTTCTCCTCCCCCCCCCCCTACAAACAGATTTAGCTTATTTCTTTTTTTTCTTTTTTTTTTCCCTGTTGCATTGTCCTGTATTTGTAGATAAGTAAGTTAAATGTATTGTGTTGTTTTTGGTTAGTGAAATGTGTAAGGGAAATTTTACACTGCTATATTCCTCAAATTGAAGAAATGTTTCCTACCATTAGTATGTAAATCATGTTCTGTACTGTCGCTTATAGAAAATTTTTTCAAATAAAGATCATTTAAAAAGAAAAGAAAACCAACACCATTTGTTTTAAGTACATAAAGTTTAAAATAAAAAATAATAAATAAAAAAATGAAAGTATAATTTTACTGAAAACAGATGAGTGTGTTAGCTATTGGAGACCATGAAAAGTCAGAAATGTTATATAATTACGTTTCCATTGTATATATTTAGGAGGAATTTATGACAAGCGATATGCAAATTATTTATGCAAAACACTTGTAGAAAATTGTGATTGGATGACTCAAGATAATGTGCTAGACTCTAGAGCAACTAAAGAAAGTTAATGTTAAAAATCACCTGGGCCTGACAGTGTTCTCCCAAGAGTACCTAAAATTTCAACACAATAAAGAGGAAGAATCCTTGACTTTAACAAGGACACTGAAAAAGAAGATCTTCAATACCAAACCACTGGGAAGGATCCTGACACGATGTCTTTTGTCTGAGATCAGAAAGTAGGAACTTCCTATACAAGATAAGGGAAGCAATCTTCATCAGAAACCAGCAAAGAGGATTTCAGCCTTCAACTGGATCCAGAGGAAAAGTAAAGAATAGTGAAGACAAAATTGCTTGAAATAAAAATAGAAGAGTAGCAAGTAGTAAAATCTCTTTATACCAGCAATGGTAAGAGCATAGACTAAGCACAATGACAAGAAATATTCCATCCCTAGAGCTCTTGGTGATAAGGCTGGCTATGGTGCTCAAGCTAAGAGAAGTTTACAGAAGAGTCTCAGACTGAATGCTGAAACTTTCAATCCAGATGATCATTTCAATGTTTAAATGTACTCATCTGTAAGTCATGATTAATACCCCATTAAATGCAATAATGGATTAGCATAGATTACCCTTTTAGACTAATTAACTTGAACATTTTCTTTTAAATGACACAGAGTCACAAACTTTATAGAACTGAACTGTTATCTGTAGTACCTGTTTACTTGTTACGTATTGTCATGGATAAATCATCCTTTAATTATGTTCAGAGCAACACAAATCAATTCAAGCGATTGGAGAAGCAATAAGGCACAGTACACGTGGTGAATGCAGAAGAATTGCTTCTAATTGGGGGAGATCAGCTTTATACAGTAGAGGATACGTGCTTGCGTTCAAGGAAAGAAATGTAACAAGAGACATATTTCTAAATGTCAAAAGATAAGCAGTTTACAGAAGTACTTCAGTGGGGGCTAGTTTTTATAAGAAAGAGAGCTTAATTTAGGACAAAGTAAAAACAAAGAGAACGTTACCTGCGCTCTGGCCTAAATCCCCATGTACATTTAAACAAAATGGAGGCTCTTTAGTTTTATTCCAATGGCCATTTGAATATATAAGCTCACCTGCCACGTCAAGGCAAGCCTCAATAGGTTAGTTCCTACACTAGCCATTAGATGTGCTGATATCAGCCAAGAATCTCCAGTAAGACAGGAAGGGGTATTTTATAAACCTTTTCACATTTAACCCTTTATAGGGCTTCTACACATACAATAAACTTTGCTGGTATCAGACAAAGGTAAACATCTCTAATGAGACATGAAGGGGTATTTTATAAACCCTTTCACATTTAACCCTTTATAGGGCTTCTACACATACAATACACTTTGCTGGTATCAGACAAAGTGTAAACATCTCTAATGAGACAGGAAGGGGTATTTTATAAACCTTTTCACATTTAACCCTTTATAGGGCTTCTACACATACAATAAACTTTGCTGGTATCAAAGTGTAAACATCTCTAATGAGACAGGAAGGGGTATTTTATAAACCCTTTCACATTTAACCCTTTATAGGGCTTCTACACATACAATAAACTTTGCTGTATCAGACAAAGTGTAAACATCTCTAATGAGACATGTAGGGCTGTATTATAAACCCCTACATACTTAACCCTGAATAGGGCTATAACACATACAAATCACCTTGCTGGTATCAGCTAAAAGGCACATTTCTCTGATTATTATGTAGGGGCAGCACCCTTTCCTGTACTTTTCCAGTACTCACAGACTTGCACAGCACACAATGGACTAAACATAGTCAGAAAAAAATAAAATAGGATACTAACTGGGTACATTGATACAGAATATCAGGAAAGCATATAAACTAGCCAGGTCAAGATTACACAATATCCAGAAATTAGCAAAGGTCAATACCATAAATATCAGACCAGAGTAACAAACACACTAAGTACAGAAAACAGAAACTGTAATAGGGCACAGTAAATGGAGTCAAAATGCTTTCAATAGTGTTAGGTATTAACTGTTTGGTCTACATCACACCTGCGACCATAAAAAGTGCAGGAATGGGGATGCCAACGCAATGTATCTGAATAAAATTAACATTCGGTAGCAATTATCTTTTTATTTTGCTATCTCTTGATTGAACATCATGGAAAACTAAGCTGCTTATTTGCCCATTCAAACCAAAGAAAAAGAAAACAGTCTCTACTTCATTCGATTCCCCTTTTTTTTTCTGAAATTACACTGTCAATCAAGAACTGAACCAACCATGAGTTGGTTCCCCTAAGATTTTGGCATGTGGCAGCTCGGAATCCACAATTTCTTTTGATCACCTGATCAGCTCAATACAGCTCAGTCCAAAACAAATCTCCAAGTCTATCAATCATCAGCATTGTCGTAATACATGTCTTTTGAATATTTGAAGGCATATATATTGCATGCATTGACACTGTAGTTTATGTAAATACAAAAAAAACAAGTCCTGCGCTCTCACTCTCCCATCACTACTGGGCGGCAGCAACGACCATAGTACACATCAGCCCCAATACATACAGTAAAAACCAAAGAAAAAAGTTACCTGCCACCTTCCCAAATCCCTATGCATATTTAAACAAATGGAGGTTTTTAGTTACCTCCAATGGCCATGAGAGGGTATGCCCACCTGCCACGTCAAGGCAAACCTCTTAGGTGGGTCCTACACTAACCTTTCACCTTGCTTCCCTGAGCTTCTGGCAAAGATATCTCTAATGAGACAGAAAGGGGTATTTTTTTTAATATATATATTTTGTGAAGAGCACAAGTAACTTTTTTCTTAGTTTTTTTACTGTAGTTTATGTAATCCATTGTGTTATCATTGCTTTATATTACATCTCACCATATGGAGGATGAAAGGCAAGGTCAGGTCAGGCAGATAACAGATAAGATAAAAACAGCACAACGTTGGAAAACATTAACAGGTTAATTACATGTTTTGAGTTAATCATATTAAATAGTAGTAGCAGTAGGCTATAATATGACACCAATGTCAGTGTCATACATTACACAATGAAGCAGAATAATTATTAATTGACAATGTTGCTAAATGACATATGATTAATCTGTATATCAGATAATTGTTTGTTTGAAATATATTTTCTAACATTCTTAAATCTAAGAGACAGATATGGGCTAACTATTTCACTGGAAAAAGAAACAAACAAACCTCAGTACTCTGAGTAAAAAGAAAAAGTTATTTTATGTATTTATACAGTTTTTAACTTTTTTATTTCTCCAACCATCTCAAATAGACAGGGGTATTCACTATGAGGGGATAGGAGTCAATCAAATGCCTGTAAAAGCAATAATTTCATACTTCCAATTTCTAATTTCTTCTTTTTCTCGGCCCTAAAATAAAAGCCAAAGAAAGAAACAGAATAACCTGACACAGCTAAATAAAAACCTTAAGTCAATAAAAATTAATCCATCTGCATCTATGAGGACTCTTCACTGTCTTCCATTTAAATGCCTGGGCACACCCTAATCCCTGCGGCATACCTATGGATTGAGACTGGCAGGGGAGATCTCATACAGAGCCCGTGCTATCCGAGATCAAAGATCTCCCTCACCGTCCCACAGCAGCATGGAGGGAGGCAGGAGAGGACCCGGGGAGCTCTAGCCAGCAGCTCCGTCGGGTTCCTCTCACGAGATCTGGGCGTTGTCGTGGAAACGCTCAGATCTCATGAGAGGGAACTCTAGCCCTGCAGGCTAGAGTTCACTCTCCACTGGACCACCAGGGATGGCACATGGCAGAAAGGATCCCCCCTCCCTACATAAGGTAAGAAGGGAGGGGGGATATTTACTAATCTGCCCCCACCTCCACCCCCACGATCCCTCCAAACATCCAGCACACACACACATACAGCACCCTCACACACAGAACACAAACAACACCCTCACACACAGCACACAAACAGCACCCTCACACACACAGCACATAAACAGCACCCACACAAACAGCACCCACACACACACAGCACCTACACACATACAGCACCCTCACACACACAGCACCCTCACACACACAGCACACATATA